TTTTTTCCCCGATTAAAAAAAGCGTTGTTTCATATGCGGGTATGCACGTATTTCTGTTATTCAGAACGAATGAAGAAGTCTGTTCAGAAATAAAGATAGCAGATATAGAATACTCCTTAGTTAACCGGATACAAAAAACTTGTCACGACACATACCTTCGAGCAATAATAATTGTTATTTGCGTACAATTCCCAGTCGGAAGCGGGGCAATTTAAATACAACATGCACGACATTCGGTATGAGCGTTAGTGGAAAGTTTCGTGGGTAGGGTAAAAGAGGTCATTTGTGTGCCTGTTAGGTTTTTCTTATCCCTTCGCTCCATCTGAAGGGCTTTACTATTAGTTTTAAGATTAAAAATCAGTTTAGTGCTATTTTAGTTGAATATCTTTCACCGGCTTTGATGATCATAATTCCGAAAAAAGTAATTTATAGAATCCATATTTCTACTGTTGTAGTAATAAGCATCTTAAGCTGTCTGCGAGTTCTGCAGCGAGTTTTGCAGGGCAAGTAACCGTTTTTTATTGCGGCGTTGCTTTTTTCTAAGTTGGTTTCATTACATTGAACGGTCGAACATCAACGACGCTGTCTTTTGTTGTTGGTGCGAACAAAATATATTAAAAACACCTGTGTTCTAGGAATACGCAAATTTGAAATGTACGCTGCAGCAACGGCATTACGCAACAAAAGTTCGGATGACATACTTTTTGGAGCAGGCAACTGGGATAACTTGGATGTCGTAGTCAAACATCTATGACCTACATAATTGCTGGAAACTGTATTAACATATATATGCTTACAGTCTCAATTATCTTGACTATCGGAACTAATTGTGCAAACAAAATCAAACTATGAGAACGAAAAGCAAACTTATTAGGTAGCTTTGTAAGACAGAGCCGTCACATACTTATTGTGGAAAAAAATGTAATTCAAGGAAAAGGCTGGATTGTTCAGTCATAACAAGAAACGCGTAGTCACATTTTGGTTCCGATGATGACAGGATTTTTAGTGTGTTCGCATAATCTCCTCAAGCGCACATGATGGATTTTCTCCAAATCTGTAGCCCAAAATGTGTGAATTTCCTGAACAAGCTGTGTTCCTATATAAAAAGTAGAATTTTTTTCAATATTCACAGCTGCCAACGAAAGTGCACTTGAAGCATTGAGAGGTAAGTCTGTCTGATTTATACTAGAAAACTCACGATACGAGATTCAGATACTCAGTTTGAGTGATTTCATATAAAATAACAGTATTTGCTTTTCAAAGATGCTTAGGTGTAACTTCAATCGTTATAGTTAATTGCAAAACAAGATCTGTCACATGCGTTTCAAATGCGATTACCCTTGTTAGGCATACCTCAATAGATAATCAACTGAGCCTATGCATCTATCAGAGTCAAATTTATCCATATCAAAACTATCAAAAATGTTCAAATTTGTCACGTTGTTTAAGGAAACAAGAAAATTCAACTAGTTTAAGTAGACGTCGGCGTGCTGATCGTCGTGGGAAATTAGGTCATCCATATTGAATAGATCGCGTCACAACTGGAAGTGTGTATCGCGCTTTTGACGCAATCTTTCGATTGATGATTTCAATGATTTTAATGATTTTAATGATGCGTTGTTGAACGTTTGTTGCATTGGATCAATGGGGATGACGCCCTTCAGTACATATTTTCTAACGGTGCAGACTTAGATGCTAGAATGCTACACTACTCGTCAACACCAATGGACCTGGAAAAATACAAATTTTTATGGGCTCATTCAAAGAATATTAAATAAATCTTTCAACCGCTCAAAACAAAGCTTGCTCTTATGTTTTATGGGTCATCTGTCTGTAGAAAACACTACAATGTGGTCTGCGGACAAGTCTTTCCTAGTAATTCCGTACATGGCATTTATGTCAGGTGCACTTATCTGTCATCGTATGGCAAATCTCTGGAGTATGTCATGCCGGAGTTGGTATCTGATTGCGCAAAATTTGGAGTTCCGAAAAAAACTATTAGAGTTTCCAAATGGTGTCAATTATAGGATCTTCTGAGGGACTATACAGAGATAATCTCCTAAAAACTCCTTAACGCGTTAGTTCTACGTTTGTCTTTATTTGAAGAGTCGTAATACGCATTCAACTGGAATCCACCCGATTGATATTTTGACTATATTAAGAGGGTTAACGAACTGACACGCTGCAGGTCTGCCAACTTTATAGACTTAACGCAACAGCATGCGCAGTTGCCTCAAACTAACGACAAAAATTAATCAATCGCTTTTCGGGCGAACAGTCCGGAGGAACAACGCTCCCAAACCGTAATCTGAAAAATTTATTAGAATTGCCGCGAGCTTAAATCTTTCGGAAGAATATCTCTTGTCTGAATGAAATTATTTTAATTTGTTCGATGAAACTGAATTGCCCAACCTATAGGTAGCATTCAGCTGCACTTTGGTCCCCCAGGCATCTGTTCCTGGATTACCTGCCTGATAGTGCAATGTAGCGCATCCAATCAGGATGCTATGGACAACCACATATACTGGCGTCACCCAGTTCAGTAACTTTATACATTATTTCTTGTTTGAGCAGGCCAAATCGCAAAATTGAAAGCTTACGTTCATACTAAGTGTTTAAAAACTAAAATTACGAGAATATATTCCTGCCTAAAATATGATGAACACCAGTGATGGTTGTCGATTTTGTGTTATGTGCTCAGCTGGAGAGCAATTTTGTACGCCAATCTGCTTAAGGAATAACTAATTAAATGCAACATAAATACCAGGACCAATGTAAGAAACAGTTATCATATTGAAATTAAACTTGAGGAAATGTCGGATTTTGAGACTGTAAAATGACGTTGCCTAATATATCCAGAACCACCAGTACTTTGTAACGACGCAAAATCATGTCAAGTATCATCAGGTATAAATTCAACTTACCAAAGCGTGCATATATTTATTGTAAAACAAATATTTGGAGAATAGAATTGACATCCTTGAAATGATTATACAGGTCAACTATCCAGCGTATTGATGCAAGTAAAAGGTATGACTTGCCCTAATATTTATCATTAACTCTCTTGTTGAAAGCAAACCCCTTTTATTTTCCTGTCAGCATAATTGACAAAGACTTGTTCTTGCCTTCAGGTCGAGGAGTTGTTCATTTGCAATTAACCCATAATTGGGATAATTCAGGCCTCAAAACATTTCGAATCTCGAGACAGAGTCACTCAAATGTCAAACTCTCACACATGACCTCACATGTATATAATTTTGTACTCTAAAATTCTCGGTCGTGCAACAGTTTGGAAGCCTCAGGAAGGTTTTCGCTTTTAAAGTGGCCTAACACCTTCCGGTACATTAATTTTTCAAACCCAGTTCAGTGTCCAGAGTTTTTACTTCATACAGTGTTTGGGTGGCATACGCAGAAAATATCCAGTGGTCATTCAATCGACTAAGAAACATGTTATGTAGATACAACTTTGCCTTGTTTTCAATTTCACCACTGTCACGCTGCACCTCGAAGTCGGCTTCTAGGCTCCAAAATATAACAGTCGGATAGCTTTTTCATTGGAGTTTATCATCCGAAACCAGCTTCTCGATGGTAGATATATAGTGGGGTTTCTTTGTGGAATTCGCCAAACTGTGGATTTCGCCCCGCAGATTATTTGAAAATGACTATCGATGAGATGGTTATTAATTTGGAGGCTGAGTTTCACCAAACGTGGGTAATTTAAACCCTCCAAACAGGATTCATTGAGTGCTTTATAACCAACAAATGCACAAGTGTGACTCATGTGTTTATTCTGTCAGTGTGCAATATAAACTGGAATCCAAAATGAAGATGTATGATGCCAGCCAGTGGTGTTTTCTCATAGAAAAAGTATATCGCGGGCATTGTGTACCTAAATGAATAAGAATTGTTATATCTATAAAAATAGTAACAGCGTTTATTCCTTTTTCAAATTTACTTCCACTGGTTAAATTTTAAACTAATTTTTGTTCACATTTTGAAGATGAAGTAGAAAACAAGCTGAAAAAACTAAGAGGTATGACATATTGTATGATAAACTTGTAAATCACAAAATCACTCTCCTCATACCCGATTGTAACCTCAGACGTCAAATGACACTTTTGTTGTTAGCAGTCGGCGTTGAAATACTAAGAGGTATGATATATTGTATGATAAACTTGTAAATCACAAAATCACTGTCCCCGTGCCCGATTGTATCCTCAGACGTCAAATGACACTTTTGTTGATAGCAGTAGGCATTGGTACCTTTATGAACATTTGTTAAATATCTACGTCTACGAGTCAGCATAGTACGGCGGCTATATGGCTTGTAAACGCGGCTTGGTTAGGTTAATCTACTAATGGTGTGTGTTTACGCTGGGCTGGTTATAAATTCTTTCATGCTACAAATAAGCCGTTAACTATCGTGAAGCACCAGGTACTCAAATGAAGAGTAAGCATTGCTACTCGGCAAGTAATGCTGTCTTAAAATGTAGCATGCATCGCATTTCTATTCCTCAAAGTTAGCCACTTTGTTTGTGGTTTTTCTACTGTCTTGGAAACTTTATCTAGGTTATTCAGTCAGTACCAGTTGACTAATAACTTATGTCATTCTAACCACGGTGAATTGTAAACATCAAAGCCGGTTTACAATTGTACTAGATGAAATAATGTGCATGACATTAGTAAATTCAGGGTAGTGACCGCATTCGGAGTTCTGGCAGTATTTGGCTCTAGACGAAGCACTTCACTTCTAAATGCAGGATAGTGACAAGCACCAACATATGTCTGTTTACCATAATGATGTTTATACAATGGAAACGTGCATCTTCAAGCGTTTTCCTCAAGTGCAAAAAGTGGGATAAGCCACCAAGTAACTTATTGTATGGGGAAAAATGTCGACAATTCCTGAGAAAAGTTTCGGACGCGTGACGCGTCTTCTCTGCACTTTAGCTTTTAGCGTGTTCCGTTGTCAGCTGCACAGACTTGTGGAGCTCGGTTGTTTTCCTGTTCTGTGCGTGCTTGTGTTTGGGAGAGGAGATGGTTCCAGTTGTATATTCATGTATTTTTGCGGTGTGAAGAGATGGTGCTTCTTCGTGATGGATACTTCCATGCACATAAATGCAACTTGGCCTGGTGTGTTGAAGTGTAAGCACGTGGTTTCCGCGTAAACAAAAATTCAGGGGATGGGTCAGTAGTCACTGCATGCTTGGAGGGTTTGTGACGAGTGATCTGCGAACG